CGGTTATCCGGTTATCCGATTATCCGGTTATCCGGTTATCCGGTTATCCGGTTATCCGATTATCCGGTTATCCGGTTATCCGGTTATCCGGTTATCCGATTATCCGGTTATCCGGTTATCCGATTATCCGGTTATCCGGTTATCCGCTACCCGGGTTTTCTACCATGCCGGAAAATTGCTCTAAAAGATTTGTTTTTCTGCCTAAGCCAATCAAATCCGTATCTAGGGTAAACAAACACTCCGGAAGTGATTCCTGCAGTCTTTTACCAGGAAACTGTAATGCTTTACCAAGAATTTGGCGTCCGAAGTTGGCCGAACACTTTCGGATCACGAGAATTGCCATAATAGGCTTAGATTATTTCGCAATTTCCCGAGACTGCTCCGAGCTATGGAATGGAAGATGGCGATTCTTTTGCTATATTTGTTATTATTATATGTTGAAAAGAAGCAAAAAGACGAGCATTTGAATCAGGCGGAACATTCAAAATGCAACAGCAAAATTGATAATGTGTCATTTGCATAAATTTCACCGCATTGATCATTTCAAGGTAAGAAATTCGCTTGAAATTGTGCGAGAAACAATAAAATTATATGAATATTTCTGAAAATATAGTATCGATCAAGCGGAATTTTTTGTTGGTATTTTCGTATGTCTACTGCAAATACTCGCAAAGTTCTTTAATATTTAATCTTCCCGTCATATACGTCGGAAATTAATATTGGCGGATTGAATTGAGTTAACACTTGTTTTGCAAAACACTTTGCGCATGGGTTCACATCTTTTTGCTCGTTTTCTGGGATGCTGTGGCATCATGTCATCCTCGGCTTGGTCTTGAGAGTTGTAGCTGCCTTTATACTTGATGATACTCTTTGAGGTTGCAAATATTGGCGCATCTTCACTGATGCAAACGTCGGTGCTGAAGTGATTCTTAGGAGCTGGCAGGTTAACCCTATCTCCTTCCAGTAGTAATAGAAAACTCTTCCACTCGATTAACTCCTTGCTCCATCGGAAATCATTTAAGAAGATAATTTCTGCGTGCTCGGCTCCAACCCATGCGTATCTATCCGCCGCTGGGTTCGAAAATATCTTGAAAATGAACTCCAACGGTCTTAATAGAAACGTTTTCCCACAGTTAGTTGGCCCAACTATCATCACATTCCGGTATTTCCCTCATCCTAACAACAATAGCTCTCTAACAGCAGCAGCAAACAATATGGGGTGGACTTTGTTGTTGACCAACACTTCTTGGGTGCACTCTAACCATTTTCCTTCGCAAGACAATGAACATTCACCGTCAGCTGCCTTCCGTATCAAATCTATTCGTGAAGCTTTTTTCGTTGTAGGGTTGCAGATGCCGTCTTCATTTTCCATGTTTGCTCTATGAGGTCATGCAAGCCCTTTGAGTTACGTGAAAGAACAAAATCTGTGAGATCTTTCTTCCCCTCTTCGCTTTGCTCATTTGCAACATCTAATAATTCAGTCTCCGACTTAATTTCATGTTCGACAATGAACTCCACCACTTCCAAATTTGAAAGTTTTTTCCTTCTCTTGGACGTGGTAGCAGCTTCCGTATCAGCTACATTTGACTTTTTCTCACAGCGCCTTTTTCGGTATGTTTGTTGACAGCGCTTTGTTCTTGGAGAACCAATTTCATCGAGATTTGGGTGCCCTGTGCTGTGCAACACCATATCATCAGATTTGCTTATGTACCGATATGCAGTATAGTAGCCATCGTGATCAGAGAAGTTAACAGCTATACCGTGTTCTGCTTCAATAGATTTCTTTGCTTCAAGCCATCTCTTTGTACCACTGAGTTTCAAGGCAAGGTGGTAGTGATAACCGCCATTTTCATGCTTTTCGAGGCAACATGCCCAATGTAGCGGGATAACTTTACTTCGTTTTGAAGTGAATGCAGCGGCTACAGCTTCGCCAAACGATTCTCTGGTTGGGAACTTCTGCAAGTCTGCTTGACTGTAAGTAACAAGATAACTCCTCCGTGGCTTAGACTTATCAATTTCATCCATCCATTAAAGATTTGTTTGATTTAGCACGTAAATTTTATTGTAATGTACTGTGATGTTTTGATTTAACGCGCCGAAATCACTATTGATAGTCAATCGCACCCCCCCCCCGGAAAAAAATCCTAGAATCACACCCCCCGGTATACGTAAATTTTACATCCACGTAATATGCAGTTTATAATTTAGTATAATACAAGATATGTCTAAAAAATACCACCAATAAACAACGTCCCTAATTGTTATATCTGATTTAACCCTAGAGACAATCCTGGAAAAAATATATGGAGACTATTTGTCAATTTCACAAAAATACATTATAAAGTGTTAAAATCGTACATTTCTGCCTAAATAACTTAGTGAATGATCTTGAATGCTAAATCCCCCCCTTCCCCCGGAACAATGTTGAATAAAATGAAGTCACTTTCCAACATACACCGCATAAATAGCAACATTGTGTAGGGGGGAAGGGGGAAACGTTGAGAAATTGAAAAAGTCTACTAATTTTTTT